TAGAAAACTGCAAGAAAACGTGGTAGTTTCGGTGCCTAGTGGAAGAGGTCGCAAAAAAGAAGCAAACCAATCTTCCTAGAGGAGAGAACGCGAAAAGCTAAAAAAAGCTAGCTATGTAAAAGTTACTGTTTCAAAACTTGCAATATTAAATTTTTAAATATAAAATTTGCAAATCTACCATACTGTAATTTTATTGTTTTAATGGTATTAGGCTCTTATTTATCCAAATTTTCAGGTAACAAAAAAAGATACAGTTCGGATGTTACTTGTTGTCGTAGACGTTTTTTTAATTCATGGCTTACTTTTATAAAATCACATAAGGCTGTTTGCAAGTGGACTACTCATATATTCATTAAAAGATAATTTGTCATTCGTCGCAAATAAAAAAAATTTAAATGAGAAGGATAAAATAATATTGTGTTCTTAATTCAAAAGTAAATAATTGTAGTTCAATGACGAAGGGGGGACCTATCCCCTTATTTCCCCCCTTGCCCCTGGCTACGCCACTGATCTTGAATAACTTTCGCAGATGTAAATTTATCAATTCTCTATTAAAATATACATTGGTCTACTACAATGATTTTATAGTATTTGTTTTGGGGGAAAAAATATTGAAAACAAAGAGTGTAACAATTGTAATTTAAATGGAAATGTACCAGGATTTCGGCACGGTTTAATTTCAAGTTAAGAGTTTTTTGGATTAGATATTTTTTTGGATAAAAATAAAAATTTGATCGGGCGGTAGCACGAAAAGTACCAAAAAATTACTGACACCCTTAAGGGGAAGTGTCTGATCATGATTGATAAACACTTCCATTAGGTTTTTCAGGCATTTATATTATACTCAAGATGAGAGGTTCATTATGCTTCAAACCATGTATAATAGTTGGCTGCAAATTCAGTACAGGATCACAAATTCTTTAGAATTTCGTTGATCAGATTTTGAGATACTTACATAAATAAGTAGCTCGAATTTCCGATTTTTTTTTTCTAATTTAAATGTACTATAATTTGTACATAAGCAGCACATTTATAGTGAGCCCTAATGTGTGAAACTAAACGATAAAAACAAATCTTACAAGCGCAATATTTTGAACGCGCTTTGAATACAGAATAAGCATTAAAAATTATTTAAAAAAACAGTGGATCAAAAGTGTGTAGAGCCATTTGAAATATACAATAAAAAACGAACCACCTAAGCACTTTGTGTCAATTCCGTCTAGTTTTTATGTTTCGATTCCTGTTAAATATATTTGAACTTCTTTAAATTTCCGCTTCATAAAATCGAAGTGTGCCGAGGTTCCTTCTTCATGATGGACACTTTTAATGAAAATTGACCAAATTGAAACTTAACAACTCACCTCACACGAAATCCTTTTCAATATAAATATAATCTTGAAAAGCAGCTTTACATATATCAGAACCATACTTATTTTTTCTCTTGCCTAATAAAAAACAGTAATTTCAAGATACGCTTTTATTGATCAGGGACGCGACACAACTTTTTTTTGCCTAAATACCCACATTAAAAAAAAATGCTGAGCAAATACTCAAATAATTCGGCCTTAGTATGCATTAGACGAGTGTAAGTCGAACATCTTTCTCATTTGAGGAAATGATAAGTTTATTTGGAAACTTCTAATAAAAATTAGAAAACAAAAAAAAAACAAACAATGATCTGCGTCATGTCACAAAAAAAATAGAAGGACGGTTTAAGTAATCAACAAGAATAAAATTAAATATTTACTGTAGATAAAGGGCCAACTTATAAATTCACCAAACTACTTTAAATTTTCTGCCTCTGCGCCTTATAACCGATTCCCCTCAATTTAACCACAATAAAGTCTTAAAGTCTTGGCCTGTTCGCTTTTGAATTGAGTTGTACGTTTTTCATTCGCAATCAGCTCTCAAAGAAGCTGCTCTGCAAATCCTTGAATTGAAATCCACAGCCGAGGATTGTCGATATACAGAAGCATGAAATAAATCGGTCAAGGCAAGAAGAGTAATGGAAACGTATCAATACCAGAAATATTCGAGAGCAAGTAGAAAAATGATGAGCAAGCATAAATTGCGAACAAAAGCAAAATGTTAAATGAAACTTTACATAGTAACACACATATACACATACAAATTTACGTAAATACATGCGAACATTGGTAAATATGTTAGTGCGAAATGTAGAATAAGAAGCTGCAGATGGAAAATGTCATCTGAACAATCAGCAACGGCAATGTGAGAAATGAAAAGAAGGGGCGGCGGGAGCGGCGTCGGCAAAATAAGTGTCAGATTTAAATAGATGAATGCAAGCGGAGAAATGGGGTATTGTTAGTGAATCTGAAGTGAAGGGTTGGGTGGCTGCACCGCCTCAAAACCAGTTCAGACCGCTTGTAAGCGTATGGGTTTTATTGCAAATGAGTGTGAAAAGCGGGAGTGGGAAGCGATCAGAGGCAGAAGAATAATTGCAATCGATTATTTGCAAGCATCGCTTTTCAACTTGCTATGCGTAAAACTGAGAATTACGCTTGTGGAGGTTTTATAAGCAGCACGTTCTCTTTAATGAATTTCACACATACTTACATACATACATTCAGATACACAATGGCTTCATTTACAAACTTACGTACAAATGTATGCTGGCAGATTACTTTTATGACTTGGGCTGGTAGTTTTGCGGTCTTTGAACAACGAAAATTTCCTAGCAATTTTCTTACTTTGTTGG